CATCCTTATATTAGAGTGATTGGGTTCGATCAATTATTTTCTACATCCATGTGAGAGAACTAGAGGACATGCAGGCAGGTAACACTACATCGACTGGCTTAAATTGCAAATATATCAGAGAACTAAGATTCAGTAAAAACCAGTTCACGTGCAGACTACAAAACAAAGTGCAAAACAATGCTACCATAAAATTGCAAATTCAACAATGAGATCCTCAAGCAACACAATTTCACATGGAAGAATCTAAGAGAACATAATGTATATCTCAGTAGTTTATCAAAGTACCAAACCCATCTAGTTACTCGTCTCTCATGACAACTAGCATATATAGTTCTAAAAATCTCCTTATTTCTTATTTCCCAAACATAACATATGAAACAAAGTCAGTGTAAGATCTCATATCCTCTTTTTTTTTTCATGCCTTCTATGCACTATACACGACCACACTTGGTGAATGTGGAATAAGCAAGGGAACCTAGAAGCATGTCATTACTTCTAACCCATTGAATGAACCCCAGAAACCACTAGTTCATAAATACCAAAACATCACATAAAATGCATACATGGGAACCAAATGAGTTAATCAAAATAATCCACAAAGATAAATGCTGCAAACAGAGAGAGAATCTATGAGGAAGGGCGTTATCATCCAAGGGAGGCAGGAGAGATGATGAACTTTGATGAATGATTAGTACATTGATACCTATACTTGCTCAAGAGAGGATCATCCATCATTTCTCTCAGCAATACTCCATCTGTAAGAAACTTGATCCTTGTTAAGTCCTGTGCTGCCAGGGTGGTTAAACAAAGCAATTAAGTACAGAAGTGTGTGTTTGGAAGAAAATAATCATGAGAAAGGGAAAGGCACCAGTGATAAGGGTTATAGGGTATTATTGTTGATAATCTACAATAATACTAATCAACCAAATGTTGTCAAGGTATAACATAAGAATCTTACAGTATTTGTGACATCCTCAAACCGAATTGTATAACCAACTTCTTCACCAAGTTTGACACCCATCTCTTCAGCGACTCTTGATGCCACTGACTGCATATGTCATAACCTCAATCATGTGGTGCATGATTATAAGCTTCTAATATAAGACAAGTACAACGGAAGCATCCAATCTAAAAAGGGAAAAAATTAAAGCTGCAGCAGGCAATATCTGACTTCAAGTTGTCAGCATGAAGATAAGCCGGAAATCATAAATTCACAACAAAAAAAAAAATCCTTAATCATGGAAAACTAAGTGAAATTTTACGACAACTTAATAGAATTCAGAATTTTAGAGTTATCAAAATCTGCCATATCCTCACACTATATAACTTTACTTCTGCCAAGCAATTTTGCAACAAGGTGGTAACTAGATCGGAATTGTTAGCATCTTAATGTACACATGATTAAACTGAAAGCAACCTGAGAATCATTACAAGACAAGCAGTTTTCTTTCCTACACTGACACACCAAATTCTCTGGCAAGACTACCAAAACCACAATAGTCCTACATTAAACAATTTTGGGGGAAAAAGTTGCATCAAGTTATTTCCCGGAAATTACACTTTATTTCACCCCAAACAAAGGAGGAGAAGAAGAAGTTACAGATTTAGCAAACTCACATCCCACATACATCATGCGAAAGCACTTGGAGACATGTCCAACTCAAAAATGATCTTATATGTACTAATATAACTTTTCAAATGTAGGCTTCCCAAGATTCACACATGGAGAGAAACAATCCACTATAAACATATGTACAGATGTACATGGAGATGCAGAGAGAGAGAGAGAGAGAGAGAGAGTTTTAAAAATTTGACAATCAGGCAAAAGAACATATACTGGGATGTGCATGTGTAGGTGAATCACGACAAAAAATAAACCTGTACAGCAAGTCTTCTTGGTTGAGTACAAGCTATAATGCGCCCCCCTTCTGCCCAACCAGCTTCTTTCAAGAACTGCAGGCAATTAGAGCAACAACCATAGTCATGAAACTTAACATAGCCCAGAAAGGAATAGAGAAATCAATCTCGATGATTTAAACTCAGTTAGCCCATTCAAGAATTCACAATATACACTCTGCATTAAACAAAGCAAGCACGAGAATAGGAACATAAATACGTAAAAACAGAGAGAAGGGTTAGGCGAGCCTAAAAATTGTACCTGAGGAATCTGAGTGGTCTTACCACTACCAGTTTCCCCAACAATAATGGCGGTGGCATGAGTCTCCACTAAATAAAGAATAGCGGTTCTGTACTTGTACACTGGTAGCCTCTGCCTCTGTTTCTCTACACTCGCAAAGCCGTATCTGTAATATCAACATCTCTTAAGGTTACATCAATTCAAGACCCATACTCTCTTTCGGAAGCCCCCCGCAATAATTCAAGGAAAAATACACTCCCACTCCCAAACATCGACTTGTCAACAGCATATTACAACTCTCAAGAATCAAGAACCATTCTCAGAATTCCATGTCTTTGGCTTCAATACTATCGTAATGACCAACAGTTCAAACGTAAACTTCCCATTACCACTGTACGACTACAACTTCTATAATTCAAGAAACATATTATCACTTTAACAGGTCAACAAATAATATCACAGAAAATCCCATGTCTTTTATTTCAATAATCAATATGGCAATGATTCAGGTAAAGTTATTCAGGTACATTTCCATATTTACGGTTTCCACACATTCAAGAAACACATTTTCTTAGCAACCCTCATCTTTGGCTTACATCATTACAACATCTAATTTCAAGAAAACATACTTTCTTGGCATCACATACTACCCATATTAAATCAAGAAACTTCAGTGACCATATAAAATCAAGAAGCGTTAGTGGAGCAAGTAATTCAAGAAAATTTAAGAACCATGCTCACTTTGCTATATAAGTTATTTCTTGGCATCACATGCTGCCCATACTAAATCAAGAAACTTCAGTGAGCATATAAAATCAAGAAGCGTTAGTGGAGCAAGTAATTCAAGAAAATTTAAGAACCATGCTTACTTTGCTATATGAGTTATTTCAACTAATGATTACCACTATAAATTGAAACCAAAAAACATTTTTTTTAAAAAAAAGGTTAGCAAGGAAGTACCCAGAGGAGGAGGAAGATAGGGCGGATGTGGAATAGAAAAGAACACCGCCTTCTTCGTCGTCGATGAGGCGAGGCCTCTCCGTTCCCGGTTTCCAGAACTGTGACATATTTTCATTCAGGGGTTTTGGGTTTTAGCAGTGCAGGAACGAGGAAACTACGGGATGGAACTGATTTAATGTTAAAGAGATCCGGTCGGGGTTGTAAGTACCCGGTCCGGGCCGGTGTATTTTATTGGTGCTTCTCGGTGCGGTAAATATCGTGCATTGTATATCTTTTCTAGACTTTTGACCCAAAAAAATTATTTATATATATATATATATATGTTACTCCACACTAGATAAACCAAATTAGTCTATGCGCGAATTTAATTTCATCATGTAAGAGGTCATTCGAGCTTAGGTTGACTAGTAACTAGTAGCTCGCCAACTCATGAAATTAAATTCAAATAGCATTTTATATTTGATGACATTCAAGTTCGATAAAAATTTGTTCAAACTTAGTTTGACAAATAAATAAATAAAATTTTAAATTATTTAAAATAATCAAATAAATTTGAACAGTTGAGTGTAGTGTTCGACCTGATTAGGATCGTTTGAAGTTTGAACCCCTACTCTTAAACAAGAAAAATTACGATAGCATAGTGGAAAATGCATCATAACTATCCAACAAAAGGATCAAATTGTAGTTTTGTAAAATGAAAAAGTTTTTTCTTCCTAAATTCAAATTGGAAGAATGCGATTGAGTGACAGCTGGGCAAAAAAATTGCTAGGTAATTTTTTTGTTGCTTTACCATATTGTAGATTGGTAATTCATCTAAAAGGGAAAAAAAATTAGTAAAATGAATTTAAAGAAGGAAGGAGAGAAAGGAGAAAAGGAAAATAGCACAAATTTTCTCTAAATTCCCAAATTTGTTGGGAGTTTGGCGGAAAAAATTATATGTTTTTAAGTTTATTATATGTACTTTTAGTGTTTTGTTCTTTTGAATTTTATAACTATTACATCTTACTTTTCTATTTCTCTATGCCATCGGAAATAAAAATTATTTCCTAATTTTTCATTCACCCTTTTATCCCTCTTTCTACTTTCTATCTCAACTACAAACCCTTAACCAATGACATAAATTCTCATTTGTCTTCTTTTCTCATCAAAAATTTCCATTGAAATTTTGACAAATTTTGTTTCATATAATGTATTGCTCGTAACTCATCTCTTTACCTTTGGTTACTAAGAGGAGCAACGAGGCTTACATTAGCTTGAGTTTGGCTCATTAAATAAAAATAGCCAACCCAACCCAATCCATCCACTCCGCCTAGGGACATAATGTTTTACTTGAATGCAAATTGGACTAAATTTGGCCTAAATTTAAAATTTCATTCAAATACGAGTTGAGCCAAGTTAGGCTTAACCTAAAAAAGACCTAACCATTTAAATAAACTTAAATATATGTAACAAATAATTAATAAGTTTAATATTAGTAAAATTTTATAAAAAGAATTATGTATTTGTTAGTAATGGAGTTGTCTTAATCCACTAACTCTTTTATCCTTTTCAAAACACAGTTCAAAACACTCTTATTGTGCATCTAACCATTCAAATTTCGATGTCTTGATTCTTTGTCAAAAAAAAAAAAAATCCGATTCATCACATATTCTATGCTGTTATTTGGAGTCAACACTCATAAAATTAGATTACAGATTGGATTGACTCCTCACATTTAAGTAATCGCACTACATGGCACATTTATCGATAATGGCATTCCAGATTTGGCATTAAAACTCAAAATTCTATTTCTCTCCTGTCGTCCATTCGGTATCTGACACTTGACAAACCTTCCCCACTCCAAATCCCAATCAATACAGGAGGTCCTTGGCGATTCCATTTCCCAAAAATGGTTGAGTTCAGATGCCCGCAAAAATTTCACTTGTGCCATCATAACAAATAGGGTAGGCAGCTTGTACAACAAGAGAATATGTAACAAAGCAGCCTTTCAAGTTTCAGCTTCTGCTCCCGTCCAGCAGAGCAATTTTGCCTGCTTGCTACCTTCAATAGCGTCCTGTTCTTTCTTGTCCTCGACTCCCATTCAAACCTTTCTGACCACAGGTTTTGGCATGAATCGAACTGCTCCGTATTAAAGGCTCCTTAATCCCGCTGCACAAGAGCAGAAAACAAGAGGAAAAAAAAAAGCTCAAAAACTTTACCATTGCCCTGTTGCCCTGTTGGTTTTCGCTTTCCTTCCCCCACCTTTGCTCCTAAACCTTACAGCTTGCAGAAAGTTTCTCAAATGGCGAGGCTGAGAGCCAGGAAGCCACAGAGGGATGCCCCTATTCTTAAAGCCAAAAAACGCAAGAAACCCAAACGCCAAAGAGAAGTCCTTAAAACTAATAATAAGCCAGCTTCTTCTTTGCTCCGATCATCAGACGACCATGAGCAGAATCTTGAGTCCCATCAAAAGCCTTGTTTAGACATCACACTTCCATCACAAATTCTCAGTGATTTTGATCCGAAGAGTTTCTCAAAGACACAGCCCATACAATCCATGCCTTCATCTCCTAAAACTCTTTCTCATCTTGCCATTGTCCCGTTCAACAATCCCAGCTTGAAAGCTGGCACAGTTTCTTCACGGAAGAAGGGAAAGAGCCTAATGACGTGTCACTGGAACAAGAAAAAGATGGAAACTTTGACAAAGCATTTCAACCCCATCCCATTTTCACCCAAAAGAGTGCCGTCTTTAGATATTGCAAGCAACCAAAGTTTGCTCTCAACTTTAGGCCTGTGGGATTTTTTCCATCTTGATTTTGACCAGGAACTCCGAACAGACTTGATAAAAGAGCTCGTTGTGTTCTACAACTCGAAGAGGCATCCGTACTGTAAAAGCTATGTGAATGGTCTGTCAATAACCCTCAGCCGTGGAGCACTGGCGAAAGCTCTGCATTTGCCTCTTAAGAGCCGAAGTCGCCGAAGTCTTGTTGCAAAAGGAGGTGGTGAAGACGGGTTATTAATGCTTTCCGAGGAGGAGGGTCTGTTTCTTGAAGAGATCGTTTGGGGTTGGCTGGTTTTGCAGGATGATGGCTCTATGGTGATAGAGGAGGTTTTAAAGTTTACGAGGTGTGTTAGAGAGAGAATGCTTGAGGAGGTCGATTGGGCAGGGTTGATTTGGTTTATGGTGGAAAGAGAGTTGTCAAAAGGGCAGGATTTGGTTAACTGTTATTATGCCTCTCATATGCAAATTTTGTTGAAGCATCAGCTGCCTAAGTTGTTTGAGAGTGAGGATGTTGAGAACGTTATTGGAGAGGAAGCACATTTGCTAGATGTGCCTGTTGAGAATGTTTTGGGCGAGGAATCAAATTTGCTAGATTTGCAGATGGTTGACGTAGAGGACTCGAGAAATGTTGACAAACAGGTGATTTTCTTTGATGAAGAGTTCAGTAAAGAGAGTGTTGCTAGCGTTGTAAAAGATGCATGGATTACTGAAATTGGGCAGGAAGATGAAAATATTTTGGTGAAGTGTTACAAGAGGAGGACCCAATACTTGGAGAAGTGCAGGAAGGAGAGAAAATTATGCATGGTAGATGATGTGGGGAATACTATTGCTGCACGTGATTGTGAGGGGGAAGAAATAGAGAACCAGCAGAATGATGTTTATCTATTGGATGGAGAATTTGGAAATGAGCAGCAAATTAAAGGCGTAAATCATGATCAGCATGAATATGAACTGCAGAGCATGAATGAGGAAGACGAGAAAGTAGGTGAAAATGCAGATGAGTTAAAGGGTGATGAAATGGATCATCAGCAAGGCAATTTGAGTTGTATGCCTGCCAATGAGAGAAAGGACCTAGAATCCAGTAGTTATGTTGGCATGTTGAAAAATCTGGACAAAGCTAAAGTGTCAACTGAAATTGTATCCAGTGGAATGGATCATTTGAATTGGCGAGAAAGAGACAACCAGCAATTCAATGTAGCTGCAAAACAGGAAAATGGCGAAAGAAAGTCCAGTTTAGAAGTTTCTGAGGAGGGGGTGAAAGATGCTGTTAACATGCTAATGAATGAGGAAACCCATGAGGAGGGGCTTAAAACAGAACAGTTAACAGATTTGACTGTAAGTGGAGTGGATGTTACGGATATCCAAGGAATGGAAAATCAGCAAACGTGTTTGGTCTCAAATCAGGAAAACGGTGAAAAACGTTTTGGTATAGAAGGTTCTTTGGAGGAGGAGCAACACGTACGTGCTGAGAGTATTTTGGATGAACAACATGCCGCCCAAACAGAACCTGGAATTGAATTGACGGTAGTGCAAGGCGAGAAAGAAGTTGAGGAGATGGAAGGGTTGGCAGAAGAGCCATGCAAAGTCGAAACTGATGAATTGCTTGACAACGGAGAAAAAGTAATGCAAAAGGTACAGATTTTCTTTTTCTTTTCCTTTCGTTTCCTTTCTTAAATTAGAAGAACTTGCATGCTTAATCTACGTCTTATAGTAACTCAGGTTCTGTTTCTTTTCCTTTCGTTTCCTTTTTTAAGTATTTGTTTAATATGCTCGCGAAGTATCCTCCCATTACTTTGTTACTCATCTCATCCTATCAATATGTTTTGTTTGTGTAAATATTGGAAACTAAGAAGCATGATATGCTAAAACTTTTTTGGGTCTATGATGGTATACTATTTGTATTCTCCTGCATATATTTTTCTGCAAACAAAAGCATTTAATGTTCTTTTCTTATCGTAGCTCTATATGCAGGTTGATTTATGTGCCGCGAAGCATAATACTTCCCATGAGAATGCTTTGAAGGAGGGAGTGAATCAGGAGGGACATGCCACTCAAACAGAACCTGGAAATGAATGGATGGTGGTGCAAAGAGAAAGAGAAGCTGAGGGGATGGAAGGGTTGGCAAAAGAAGTATGTGAAGCTGAAATCGGTGAATTGCTTGACAAGACAGAAAATGCGATGCAAAATGTATTGGCTTAATTTTTTTTCTTTCCCTTTTTCATTCTTTTATGATTAAATGAATTAATTATATTTCCTTCACGTAAAAGACCTCGAGAACGAAATTGCATGCTTACAGCTTACTCTGTCTATAGAAACTTAACCAGAAATTTGTGTTTCTTTTTAGACATAGGTTCTATTGCAAAATGTAGGAACAAAATGAAATGGTCTCTTATTTCATCTTATTGTAGAGATTCATCAGAAAGCTTCCCAAATCGTGTAAAATATACTGGAGTATCAAGTCAAATTGCTCTTTCAAGTATGTATAAAACATGCTTTGGAATTTTCTTCCCATTTTATTGTTTTACTATGTTTTGTTTGTAAAAATATCAGAAACATCAGAGATGGTGAATTCCCTATGATGAGTTATGGAACATGGACCTAAAGGTTCGGAAAAAAATAATACATGAGAAAGTTTTTGAGAGTTCGAAGCATGATATGCCAAACTTTTTGAGGTTTATGATTAATACGAATATTTTCCTGCATAAAATATGTTATTTTTTATACCCCAGAAAAAGGTACATTTTTATTTCTTGCGATATGTGCAGGTTGATTTAAGTGCCGAGAAGCCTAATATTTTCCATGAGAATGCTTTGGAGGAGGGGGTGAATCAGGAGGAAACGCACTTGCGTGATTCCTTGAAGAGATCTGAAGAAGAAAATATTGAACCAGAATCGATGGATGTGAATGAATTTCTTCGAGCTGATGTGGTTAGTAAGCAGATCACATTGAATGCAAGAACATGTAAAGGTGGAAGTGATCATCATATAGAGACTACAGAGGAGGATATCATATGTTTGGAGCACGAGGAAAATGACAAAAGGGAACAGCAGTTATGCAAAAGTAATGCCTCTGAAGACTCTGTATTACAACAATGTGCTCCAACAAATGTTGAGGTATGCGAAATTCATAAAGGAAAGATTCAAGTTGTGGAAACCAATATTTCAAATGATCTTCCTATGGAAGTGTTGGCAAAAGAAATATGTGAAGCTGAAATTCATAAATTGCTTGACAACAGAGAAAACGTGATGCAAAACATACAGGTTCTTCTTCTTCTTTTTTTGTCAGTTTTGTTTCCTCATTCTTATACCATTAAAATAATGAGTAAATCTTATATACACTGACAGTGTATACACTGTCACTGTTTGATTCATGATGTGTGCAAGAGAGGAATATTTTGAGGATAAAATTGCATGCTCAATGTGAGTCTTATTTGCAACTTGGCTAGAGTTTTTTGTTTCCTTTTACATATAGGTTCCATTCCCAAAATGTATGGTAATAAACTAGTCTCGTAATTTATGTTGTAGTAGTTAGATTGCAGGCATTCGTTAGATTAATATGTGCCAGAGGATATTAATTCAAATAACTCTTTCAAGTATTTATCTTGTCAAAATATGCTTTGGGAATTTCTTCCTTGCATTTAGATTATAACTCATCCTTTTTGTATGTTGTGTTCTAATTCCATTGGAAACACCAGAATGCAGCTGAAGAAAAGTAGTTAAATAAACTTGTGATAAGTGACGGGGAAAGAGTTTATTTTTCTTCTTCTTGCACTATATGCAGGTTGATTTAAAAGCTGACAAGCATGTTATTTTGCAAGAGAATGTTTTGGGGGAGGAAGAGAATCAGGAGGGGATGAATTCCTCTAAGAGTTGTGGAGAAAATGTTGGAGTAGACGCAACAGTTTGGAATGAAATTCTTGGAGCTGATAATGATAATATACAGGTCACATTAAATGCAGAACCGTCCAAGGGTGGAAGTGAATATGTTACAGAAACTAAAAGGGGGGATGTTATGTATTTGGAGCATGAGGAAAATGATAAAAGGAAATTCCAGTTAAGTGAAAGTAACATCTCTGAAAGGCTTGTCTTACAGAATTGTACTCCAGGAGATGTTGAAGTTACTGAAGTACATAAAGAAAAGATTCAAGTTGTGGAAACCAATATTTCTCACGATCCCCCAAGGGAATGCACTTCAATTGAGGACCTTTATTCAGCTCAGGGTGTTCAATCAACTTGTGAAAACGAGATGCGTTTTAGTGCACCCAACAATAATTTCAATCACTCTTTCATAGAACTACCTACCCCGAACTTGGATGTGCAAATTGGAGAACTGATCCCATCTGTTCATACTGAAGCACAGCAAAGTAGGAATGTCCACCCAAGTGCAACTTCTCTAGAAAATTTTGAATCTCAGCCTGATATTGGTATGAATATGGGTGGTTCTTCCTTTGACAATTCGATAAGGAGCGAGATTTGCAGTCTGAATTATAGCCAGTATGAGCATGTGACTGAAAGTCAAAAGAGGGCTAGGAGTGATGATGCCGAAAATAATGAGCCACTGGACCTTGAGTTGTGTACTAGACAGATGGAAGTATGGATGTCAAGATTGAAAAATGCAGCTAAGAAACGAGCTCGGGCAGATGGTGAAATCAGCACAAGGCTGCTAAGGAAAATTGAGGAGCAGAATAAGATCATTGAAGAGCAGAACAAAATGATTCAACAGCATGAGAAATTGAAGAACGAGGAACAGCAAAAGAAACAGAAGGGTATTCGTAGATATGAGCGTGAACTACGTCTCATGCAGGGTGTTCTTTCTGACTACCGGAGGGCTCTGAAAGAGGTAGACAAGTCATATTCCAAGTATAGAGAGCGTTGCCAACTTCCTGAAGAGCCACTTTATATGGATGATCCATGTGGTGGTGGTAAAGTTATCCTGGCAGCAGAGTTTAACAAATTGTCACTCGAAAGCCAAAACAAGGCCACTCAAGTCAGCATTGAAGGCATGATGAAGAACTTCATGCATGAATGGGTTGATAAATTTGAAGAATATTTTATTGAGCTTGATCATCTCTGTCATAGGTTGGAAGACGTAGAAATTTCTGTGTCCTCGTTGAAAGGAAAGGTTTTGAACGCTCAGGATCCTGGAACCTGAAAATGCATTCTGGGCTTCTCAATGCACTGGAGGCTTTTGGTTTCGTTTTAACGTCCAGGTCTTTGACATATCACAGGTGACTTAGTTTCCTGGACATGTCTGATAAGTTGGTTGTTTGTGTTACAGATGGAAGTAGCTTCTTAGTAGTTTAAGCTCTTGTTGTCGAAACCTTAATCAGATTGATGATCCTAAAAGTTCGTGTTACGTGGATACTGGTTCTTAACTCTTTGTCCTGACAATGATAATTAAGTTGATTTTGGCCGTTCAACATGTGATCCTAGATTGAATATCTTACAAGAAATTCATGAATCTGCATTTGAGTGAGTGATGGAGCTAGTTACTTGCTTCTTGTGTGCATTTGTCTATTACAAGAAGTCTCATGGAGCAGGGCTTTCCGGCTTTGCAGATAAGCCGTTAATGTTGAGGCTGTAGTTTTAGCCACACATATTCTTTCTGATGGAAGGCTAAACCTGCAAAATCACGCTCCTTTTCCCTTGATTTATGCTGTATTCCGTTAGTGCACTTAGAAAGAGCTGCATTACTCGTAGCTTGACGATTTGAGGCAGGTATTAACACCTACAACATCTTTGGTAAAAGTAATTGTGTATTCTAATACTAATCTTGCTCTCTAAATTTTCTTGGCAAGAATTGAATTCCCAAGTTTTTTCTCTGTTCTTTACATGGTGCCAATCTTTTTTTTTTTCTTTCTTTCTCCCTAGAAATATTATTCAAACTTTCACTTGTTACGAATTCAAGATGCTACGAATTCAAACTTTCACTTGTTACGAATTTACAGTGTATTTTTTTGTATAAAAATTTTCAAAAACTCTAATCCAAACAGGCTCTAAAGTGCCAACTTGTAATTGGGATGCCAAAAATAAATTGTAATTTGAGGTGTCTTGAATTTTTATTTTTTATTTTTTGCACTACAACAATAATATTTATATAACCTAATCTATATTATTCAATCATAAGGTTTAGAAATTCAACTAGATCAAAAAGGTATTTTGACATCTGTTTTAAATTGTTTCACAAGTAGACGAGATTCGAACCTGCGACCTATAATTTAAAGAAAGATTTAATCTTTTTTGGTGACTCTTGAGCCAAAGGTGGATGGCCAAAATAACTCGATGGTGCCAGGGCACTTACATTTGAGAACATCTGAAGCCGCCATGTATCTGAAATATCGCACTGGGGTCAACAGGCCAAAATCTTCTTTGGTGGTCAAGATTCCGTGGTCCAGCCTTTTTAAGTGTCTTCGTGGAGCTTCATGGTGGCTGAAAAATCTAAACACTTTAGATATCAGCCTTTTAAGTGTCTTCGTGGAGCTTCAAGATTCCGTCGTCCAGCCTTTTGAAAGTTGTAGGTTTGTGTTTATACCCAGATCAGAAAATGAAATCAGTCATGCTCTAACTCAATTTGCTCTCAAGTTAGTGTATGATATTGAATGGTAATAAGACTTTCCAAGTTGGCTGATAGACATAGTGAAAAAGGAAATGAGGATAGTAGTCCTTTTTTTAATTAAATTTTGTATTATCAAATGGTTTTCATATATATATATATATATATTTATATTTATATCTGTTAACGTATGTGAAAAAAAAAAAACACTTTAGATATCTTTGGGTATTTTTCTCTTATTTTCGTTCGAGGCTTCGTTGGCTCCATATACTGTCTATCTTTAAAAAATATATATATTTATCACTTTATACGCGAAAATGAAATCTCCTTGAAAACAATAAGCCTGAATTGAACACCACCCACGTATTGATATGAGAAGAAGCAAAGGTTTGTGTGTTATTGTGCTATTGATTTTGATGGAAAATTCTAATCACATATAATTTCAACGTTCAACTTCACGCCTTCGGTCATTTTATAACCCATGTAAAAAAGTCCTTGACCGTTGACTCTTCCACCATCTTCCTGCAATTACATGTTCAGTGACATACATAAGGCTTGGTGTAATGATAATATTGGTGAAGCATGAATCTACTTTCAAACAAAAAGATTTTTTTTTCTGATCTAACAATAATATTGAAGATTCTAAAAGCCCTCCATTGGGCATGAATCTAACAATATTTGAAGTGTTCAAAGAAATCAAAGATACCATTCATCTCTTTGACCTTTGTTCCCTTTTCTGGAAATAAAATGTTTAGATTTTTCAGGCATTGTGGAGCTCCGGGAAGCAACCTAAGGGCTGGACCCCGGAATCTTCATCACCAAAGAGGATTTAGGAACTTTTCTTGTGTACCATTTAGAAATGGGATAATCCCCGAGGTTTCTCTTAATATAATATAGCAGTCTTGAGATTTTGAAAATTTCACTTACTTCCCTTAATAATTATAAAATGATGATATTAACCCTCTCTTAATACATTATTCATATATCAAATAAATGGAGTTCAAAAAATTAGAGAAAAAAATAAAAATCCCCTTCTTCTCTGTCCCCTTTTTGCAACATTCTCCCTTACTCATTTTTTTTTTCTGAATGACTATGTAATTTTTTATTTGTAAATTCCAGTAAAATGAATTTTATTTATTTTATTTATTTTTGTGATTTGTGATCGAGTGGGATATGATTTCTTTATTTATTTTGAATTGATTTTTATAATGATTTAGTACAACTTAAAAGCGTGAGCCATGGGTTGAGGAGAGGTTGGGAAAAAAAATAAGGTTCATAAAGGATCGGTTTTAAGCATATAGAGTTGAATTGGTGCTAGTGTATTTCTTACAAATATATTTTTTATTTTTCAATTTATATATTTATGGACAATAGCTTTGTGATGTGGTGGTACTATTGGAGACTTTGTTTTTAGTTGGTGTTATTTTTTTTAAGTAAATAAAGTGTCTTAGAAGTATTTTTATTTAGCAAAATGAGCAAAAGGGTAGTTTGGGATATTTGTAAATTTTGTTACACAAATAACAAAAGTAAGGGGGCTAAGTATTTTTTAAAATGTTAGAGGTGTTAAGTGATATTAAGAGAAATCTCACGGGAGGTTTTTGATATTATCCCTTTAGAAATTCATTTTCCTCGTACTTCCTTGAAGCTTCTTCGTTAACTCCATATGAGGGGATTTTTTTTTTTTACTAAAATTTATATCTTTATACACGAAAACGAAACCTGTGATTAGTGTAAATCTCCTGGAAAAGAATAGGTCTGAATTGGTCACCATATATTGATATGAGGATATGCTAATTTTTCTGAATTGGTCACCACATATTGATATGAGGATATGCTAATTTTTTGTCTTATTGTGCTATTGATTTTGATGAAAATTCTAATCAAATGTAAATTGAAGAAGTCATTTTAGCCCACTGCTGCTGGTCTTGGTTCAAATCTACTTGTTGCAAAAGAATATGACCATGGACTTTTCAAACCTGCATATTTAGTCAAAATACAATTTTATTCTGTTTCCAAGCTTTTGCTTATATTAGCTATCTTTCATCCTTTGTAGGTTGAACTACACATTTCATTTCCAACTGCTGTGCAAAGAAAGGATGAAAAAATGGCTTTCCAACTACTTACCAATAGTACAAATATTAAGTGCTCTAATGTCTTGTTCCTTGTAATGAAACTATGCTTCCTCATCATATGCTTTTTTCAGTCTGCTATAGGAGCTGCCACTCCTCTAGAAACCATCAATATTGGTGCAATCATAGATGTTGATTCCCGAGCTGGTAAAGAGCAAAAAACTGCCATGCTGGTAGCAGTTCAAAGTTTCAATAGTATATCAACAAATCACAAACTCACTATTCATTTTCGTAACACCAGCAACTATCCAATTCATGCAGTGTCTGCAGGTTAGTTCACCTCTTTTCCGCTTGTTTTCTTCCTTTAGTTGCTAATATTGGGAAAAAGTAAAGTTTGATATTCCTAAGTCCGATTTTTCTTCGATGTCAACTTTGGTTAGAAATGCTTCTGTCATGTCTAATTTGAGATATTTTGTGCCCTTGAAACTCTTTTGCAGCTGAAGAGCTGATTACACAAAAACAAGTGCAAGTTATAATTGGGATGCAGACATGGGAGCAAGCTGTTTTGGTTGCTGATGTTGGGAAAAAAGCTCAAGTGCCAGTTCTTTCATTAGCACCAGCTCCTAACAGACACCTGTTCATACAGCATAGATGGCCTTTCCTGGTACCAACGGTTTCCGATGGCTTCGAACAGATAAGTTGTATTGCTTCTATCATCCGTTCTTACCACTGGAGAAAGGTTGTAGCAGTCTATGAGGACAACACATATGGTGGTGATTCTGAAATGCTTGCAATACTATCTGAGGCCCTTCGACCTGTTGATGCAGAAATTGAGGCTCATTTGGTTCTTCCACCAATGTCTTCTGTGTCTGATCCAGAAGGAATAGTCAGAGAAGAGGTAGAAAAATTATTGATGACACAATCCAGGGTGTTTGTTGTTCTTCGATCTTCATTATCACTAGCCAATCATTTGTTTAGAGAAGCCAGGAAGCTAGGATTAATGGGTAGAGACTCAGTTTGGATAATTGCAGACACTCTTTCTAATCTCCTAGATTCTGTTGACACCAACTTCATCTCCTCTGCTCAAGGTGCTCTAGGAACCAAATTGTACTACTCAGAAGAGGCTACTCCTTTTCTGGATTTTAGACGTCAGTTTCAGAAAGTTTTTCGATTGGAATTCCCAAGTGAACATAATTTGGAGCCTGGAATTTATGCTCTACAAGCATATGATGGCATCACAGCTATTTCGAAAGTTGTGATGGAATTAGGCAGTAAAAGTAATACTGGTACTTCAATGCTACTGCCAACGATAATTCGATCAAACAATTTCACTGGCTTAACTGGTGATATATATTTTCATAATGAGTCACTATCAAGCCCACCAATGTTTAGGATTGTCAATGTTGTTGGCAAGAGTTACAAAGAACTTGGCTTTTGGTCATCAAGTTTTAACTTTGCAGATAGCCTTGAATTGGAAAATGGGAAGATAAATTTTAGTGCAGTTGATGGTGTTCAAACCATGCAAAATATGACTGCTAGAGTAAATTGGCCGGGGGAATTAGACAGAATCCCAAAAGGTTGGGCAATGCCCAGTAATGCAAATCCAATGAAGATTGGAGTTCCAGGACGAACAGTTTTCCAGAAATTTGTAAAGGTAGATTGGGTCGACAATGACAAGAATGGTGAGTGGAAGTATGACGGTTTCTGCATTGATCTTTTTGAAGAAATACTTAAACTTTTGGAGCAAGAATATGCCCTCCCTTATGAATTTTATCCCTACAACGGCAGCTATGACCAGCTTGTTGACCATGTCATCAATCGGGTATAAACTGTTCCTTGAAGTTCATCAAATTACTGGTCTACATGAAACCACCATTGAATGTGACTAATGATATTTTTAACCCTACTCTTCATTTTGTCAGTTTTTTTTTTTTTTTTGGCAATCTCTTTCTCAAAAACTGAGCCTTTTGTTTTTCTTTCATGTTTCTTTGAAGTCCTTTGATGCTGTTGTTGGCGATGTAACAATACTGGCCGATCGATCAAATGATGTGGATTTTACCCAGCCATATGCCGAGTCAGGCTTGTCCATGCTGGTCCCAGTGAAAAATGGAGCTCAGATGCCATGGATGTTTGTGAAACCTTTCACTCGGAACATGTGGATTGCAACATTTTCAA